CTTCTCGAGACCATTTTACGTGTATCGGAGGTGTTGAGGCCGTGGATAGCCTCTTCCACATCACCACCGTAGGGGAAGGCACCAAAACAAAGTGGAACGGCAATAAAGTGGATGTGTTTTGTGTGTGCATAAAATACACCAGTCGAATATTAACTTTCCTGAAGTGTGTGAAGGAGTTATGTAAATTAGCCCGAGGTATGGAAGTCTTGCCTTTAAAGTGGTCAACTAAAGTGCGCAATGATTATGCAATGGGAGAGGGTGGACAACTTCTCCTTCCACCAGTCCCAAGCATTAGTAGACACGGTGGAGCGGCAAAAAAAGGCTAAAAGTGACATAAATCACGAGAGTCTTTTGGCTTGCAGTGGTTGAACTTTCAGAATAACGGGATGTGAGACACTGGATGTGTCATTGAAGGGTGTTGGGGCGATTTTAGGGTGTTGATGGGATTACAGCACTCTAATTTAACTTAGAAAAGTGGCTGAAATCATGTGAGAAAAAAGGGACGAGCATTTGAAAGGAGATGCATTAATCACTTTATCTCTTGACAAGCCTTTAAGGAGGTTTCGTTGATGTGCAAGGGGATGGCATTGTCCAATTGCAGGATGTTTGAACGGAACAGTCCTCTTCCAGCCGAAGAAGGCCATTTAAACAAACCGTTTATAGTAAAATGGTTTAAAGTAGGTAAATGCTAACGCTTTGTTCTTACCTTTGACCACCACCGCAGCCACGAAAATCATCACCGCCATCACAGCCATCACAACACTTATCCTCCTACCACCAACACGGCGAGGATAATCAAGACGACCAAAATCACCACCTTCATCACCTCAAGAACCCTTCACACCACTATCATCATTATTATCATCATTAGCAAGGAAAGAGAAACAGAAAAGAGGAGACAAATTGTTTGCAAACTATTTGTTTGCTAGCATCACTTCCTCCTCCCCAACACCATCATCGTCGAGATGTCGTCACATTTACAAAATGCACCCTTTCTAACCACACTCAATGGAGATGGTGGCAGCACCCACCAACGACCGCCTACTGGCAACTAATCGCCTTTACTACATCGTCCACTCACACCACCCACACAATCTGCCACAACTGACGTCATTCCACTCGGTTCACCCACACATCGGTGTGGTTGCATTGACGTTGTATCATCTGAGGAACTGGAAGTGGAAATGCTGCTGCTGCTGCTGCTCCTGTTGGTGGTGGTGATGGTGGTGGTGGTGGTGGAGAGATGGAATGAGGCACCTTCTTGAACGGACAAACGACCACCTCACCACATTTCCTCCACCCACAACGAACGTGCAAAGTGGACGTGGCGTAAGGCGTGGAGTCACGCCTGTGACGCAGATGTGCTGCTGTCTGGCAGAGGCACGGAGGTGACAACACACAATCGTCATTTGTGATGACACCAAGTTGTTGCAGCAGTAGCAGTAGCAGTAGCAGCAGCAGCAGCAGTCAACGTGTTGAAGGCATGTAAAGGTGTGAAGGTGGAACATCTTCACCACCTCCACCAC